TCAGCGCTGGGCTCCTGAAGCCCAGCTATAAGCTATTGAAGTGCGATCTGCACTTCAATAGCTTATTTAGAGTGTAAAGGTGATACTAGGGGTCTTTGGACCCCCAGCATCACCTTAAAGAGTACCTGTCATTGCCATTATACTATCACATGGTGGGGCTTGTAAGTCCCCCTATGTGACAGCAATTAAAGTAAAGTTTTAAAAAAAACAGTTTAAAAAATAAGATTAAATAAATTAAATGTAAAAATAAACAACGATTGCGCTTCACATGTTGGGTATCAGCGCGCACGCTGGAGTGAGAGCAATAATTCTAGGGCCAATATTTACACGTACAGTATCTCTAAACTGATGATCTGTATCGGCTTTTAAAGCGTCATGTATGGAGTTTTTGGGGTACTGAAATTTGTCGCAGTTTCATGGACACACACAATTTTTAACCTGGGCATGTTGGGTATCTATTTACTCGTTGTAACCTCATCTTTTATATTTTACCCAAAAAAAGGATAGTTTTATATAGTGTTTTGGGACACTAAATTTAACTTAAGTGCATTTTCCACTAAATGTTTGGGTTTGATAATAAGTTGCGCTAATGTCGTGCAACATAAAAATTTGCAACTGCCACCATTTTATTCTAGAGGGTCTTCTTGGCTTTCAGAAAATATATAATGTTTGGGGGTTTTAAGTAATTTGCAGGCCTAAAATGTGGATTATATCATGTAAACAAAAAATGAAAAAAAGGCCTTTGTCCTTGAGGGGTTTAAACCTTCATCCTATATTTTATAAAGCCTGTACAAAGGAAAAGTAATGATGGGACCTATTATTTTTGGTACATAAATTCCCTTATGGGCCACATAACTGGGGGCATGGCAGGGTGTGTGTCCATTGCCTTAAATACATTGAGCTAGAAAGTGTCCCTCTTTCTCATCTCCAAAGTTTGTAGGTATGATATAGGATATGGCTATGTATAGTCTAGGGTGCTCAGAGATCTGATTTTGGCAGGATTAGGCAACAATAATGATGGCTATGAGTGACATCGGATTGCAGCCCAAAACAATGGACCTTGGTGGAAAAACTAGACTGTTTTTCCACCTAGATAGAACTGGTTCCAGGAACCTCTGTTGCACTCAAGGAAATCATCCATGTGCATAGAATGAAAGTATACCGGTCTCTACCCAAGATATCTTTAGGTGATTTGTTAGTTTTGTAATGTTCAACTATCACCAGATTTCTTTGTATGTCTATTTAAGATGAGATTAATTAATTCCTTTGCTGTTTTGCATTTCCTATATTACTCTCAATACATGCTTGCAATTTATAGCTTAGGGATATGCTGATGCTGTAATGGTAGTACAATAATGGTAGTACAATACAGTATATGACTATTTCTGCATTTAATTATGCTTTGTTTGTTTTGGATATGTACAATTAATGTTTCAATGCCTTGGCAATGTCAGCTTTTTAATTCATGTGTTTCTTATTATAATATGGCTTGTTAACACATCAGTAGTGAGGAAGCGCCAACGGGCAAAGATCACATATTATTGCATTTTTTTTTCCTGGGCTGGTTTGACCTAGAGTTTTCTGTTAGTGCTTCTTTCATTCATATACACACCCATATTGTTCTCATATTTTAAATCTGTATTTAGCCAAGTGCTAATAAAAAGCAGTTCATGAGCTAGCAAAGCATATGGGGGAGAGTACGAGAAATATTAATATGCCTTACAAGCAGTTTAGTGTTAAAATTGATGTGTTTGAGTTTAAAGCTTTGCACAGTTGTATGCACAGTTGTATGCACAATCTTGTATTTTAATTCAGAATTTTTCAAACAAATAGCAGCTTTGTTTAAGTTAAACAGAACTGGCCTGATTTTAAGTTAAAGTTGGCGCTGGTATTGTTCTTGGCTGAAAAGACTGTACAGCAGTACTGTTTATTAAGTGTTATTCAGTGCCACCCAGGAATTCTGTTCTAATGCTGGTGTCCCATGTGTTCCAGTTATTTCCCAAGGAGAGCAGAGTAATTTTTTAATAAAAGACTTGCAGTATGCAGTAACTACTTCTGCTTCTTCTACTGTAGCTGCTACTCCTAACCTTTTTACTACTGTTTATATCGGTGATTGTTATTATATTTGTTATAATTAAGATTATAATATTCACTCATGCTATATTTATTATTATACTAGTCCTCTGCTGCTTCTTGTTTGCTTTGCTAATATATGACTTATTATAAGAAGACAAATATATAAAGAACATATGTAAGGAGGCATTAAGGACTTTTTTTTAAAGGGCTACAACTTTGGCTAGCGGATCTCAGGCCTATTCATGGCTTTGACTGGTTCATTTTAAATAGCTATAATACCACTGATCTCAAATCCATACTGTAGGGCCTGTAAAGTGGAAGAGCCTCGCTCGAATCCTGGTCAAGACACTATCTGCAAGGAGTTTGCATGTTCTCCTTGTGCTTGTGTGGGTTTTTTCAAGGGTACACTGATTTCCTCCGAGACTCCACAGATATGCTGGGCAGTTAATTGGCTTCTGTCTAAATTGGCTTTGCATGCGTGTGTAATAAGGACCTTAGACCTTAAAGGAGAACTATGAGATGAGTGATTTCCACTCACCTCATAGTTCTAAGCCGACCTGTGACAATGAGACTGTCACAGGTCGGCTCAGTAGATCGGGAGGTGAGGGAACACATACCGGGTTCCCTCACCTCTCGATCCTGTCACGGCTCTCTGCCGTGACAGGGGGAGGGGCTGGATTCCCCTCTCCCCGCTCCGATCTGCCAGCGCTGACTGGCGGAACGGACGGGGGAGGGGGCGGGTACAGCTGGCTCTGCCTCTAGGTAGGCAGAGCCAGCTGTCACTCACGCAGCTGGGCGGATCCCGTCATCTACGTCGGTATCCGATCCATGTGCGGCGTCTCAGTATACCGCGAGCTGTAGCTCGCGGTATACTGAGCTTAGGGTAACGGGAAGACGCTAGTTTGTGTCCTCCCGTTACCCTAAGGGGAACTATGGGGAAAAACACTGACCCCATAGTTCTCATTTAAGCTGCTTGATGGCAGGGACTGATGTGAATGTTCTGTATGTAAATTGCTGCGTAAATGGTCAGCGCATATATAAATACCTGTAATAAATAAATTTAACTGGGCATATGATAAAGCAGGGACTACTTTCAGCTGCTGAAGTTGTATAAAAACAAAATCTAACAGTTTGGTCTGACCCTCAAAAATGTCATATGAATAAAGCAGAGGAATTCTAACTAATTGTTAATCAGATATTCCATAACGGAAATACAATCTGCAATCAATTTCTTAAAGAATTCCAAAGAGCCAAGATCTGATGGATTTTGTGTGACATATTAAAAGACATTTGTGGACGATTTAAGCCCAAACTTTGCCCAAATATATGATATTTCAAATCCACATTCCTTACTGGCACATATTACAATGGTTCCAAAACAAGATAAAGATAAGCACACATTAAAAAGTTTCCATCCAATTTCCTTATTAAACTTAGGCTTTCTTCTTCTGAATCCAGAATGAATACCTTTTAGTAATTTGTTATTGATAAAGATCAAGTTGGTTTTATTCCAAAGAGACATGCCTGTGATAATATATGGGAATGTAATACATCATATGAACTCTTGTAAACTCTTGTAAGTTAAAGGGTTTTCTTCTAGCATTTGATGGACAGGTAAAGGCCAGGTCACTATCTACAAGGAGTTTGCTTGTTCTCCCTGTGCTTGTGTGGGTTTCATGCGAGCACTCTGGTTTCCTCCCACACTCCAAAGACATGCTGGTAGGTTAATTGGCTCCTGTCTAAATTGGCCCTCATATGTATGAATGTGAGATAGGGACCTTACATTGTAAGCTCCATGAGGGTAGGGACTGATGTGAATGTGCACTATGTAAAGCGCTACGTAAATTATTGGCGCTATATAAATACTAATTCAAAATAAAGGCTCAAAAAATGTGTTTTGTTTTTGGTTCAGAACGATCCAAATTTTCAGTTTTTTTGGATTCAGATCGATCCAAATTTGTCACTTTACAAAGAATGGCCAATCCCATGCAAGGAATTTTTTTTTTTTTTAAAAAGGTGTTTTTGCTTGCACATTATTGGGTGATGGAAGGTGCAGACCTGAGCGATTCGAGATGCGCATCCCAGGATCACACGGTCGTGCACAATTGCAGATAGCAATTACAGCGCGGCCCCATTGGTTTCAATGGGGTACATCCGAGCGGCAATCGCTGAGAAAAGGTACATGTGCCGTTGTTTTGCGATACACGACGTGTGGCTGTTTTAGATGCAATTGTGTTCATATGCACGGGCGGAATTGCGGCGGAAAACTGCTCGATTCACACGGTGCGACTGTGGTGCCATTAGTAAATAATGGTACCACAGCCCGATCGTCCATGATGGGCAACTCTGTGACCCTGTGGCAATCCGCGGGGTATTGTGCACGATTGCCGCGTGATCACGGAACGCCAAGGTGTGCACTGGCCCTCAAGAGAATAAGTCTTTCTTTTCTTAAAAGTGTATATTAAAGAAGAACTCCAGTTTTTTTCCAGATTAGCCATTGCAGTAGGGATACCCACACACTGCAAGGGTTAAGAGCTCATTTTGGTCTAGGAGGAAAAATAAAGTAGAAGAAATACTGACCTGATTCTCGGTCCTGCGCCAATGACGGCTCACCTCTCTCCCCATCCTCTCCGGCCGTGGTATGTCCCTCAGCAACCTCACGTCTATTGGACCTGTATTAGACGTAACAACATTACAGGTCCTCAAACTGCTGGAGAACGTGGTCGAAGAGGCTGCGGGGATCGGTGTAACAGCCAGGCTGGACAGAGGATAAGAAAAAGAAAACTAATGAGGCCACCCATCTAAGAACCATTAAGCTGCAATATATCAACATTTTGTTTCCAGGTTTAGATATGCTTTAAGGTGATTATAGCAAAAACATGTATGGTAGACGGGAACTAATCATTTTTTATACTTTGTCACAGGTGAAGCAATGGATTACAATTTCATAACTCAATCAAAGCATCAGGACCAATGGCAACTTGAAAGATAATGCAAGCATTTGCCTTTAATGTGTACATAGCACGTGGATTGGGCTTCTGGGTCTTGTTTCTTTAAGGTCCTTATTTTGTTACATGCTGGAAAGACTTTGGAGAACAATGGGAAACTATGTCCTGTTTGTCTGGATTTCTGCAATCTCCCTGGGAACATTAGTAATTAGTGCAGACAGTAAAAAGAGCAGCGCTTTCCTCACTGAGTCAGATCCAGACCGGTGTATGCGGCACCACTATGTGGATTCTATAAATCACCCACAGCACAAATGCACTGCAAAGGTATGTCCAAGTTTGCTAATATATTGAATTTTGTAAAGCTCTGCCCAAACTGTTGGTGCTATATAAATAATAATAATAATCCCGTTTTACTAAAACATTGGTGGTTTATGACTTTGCTTCATAAACAGTGTTTACTGTATTTATACTGTAAGATATGTGTAATTAAAGTCATAAAACAAAAATCTCATATTTTGCTTCAGCTTGCCATTTTAACATTGCTCGCCCTGTATCTTTAAATTTCTATGTCCATTTGGTCCCCATAAATACATTTGAATAGATACTGAGAAACACATTCACATACATTTCTTGTATGCCTTTGTCCACATTTAATTTTGCCTTCCTAATATCTCCCATTGTAGTCACACATACAGAAGCACTGTGCTTAGAAACTAGTGCTATGCTTTTTTCACAACTCCCTCACAGCTTCACACCTCCTCCTTAATGTCCTGCCCATATTCCCACCCACCTCTCTACTTTCTGGAATCAAACTGCATGTGACAAGTGGTGAAAGGCATTGTGGGAAATGACCTGGATAACTGGGAAACACAAAAAAGATCAGAAGCTCTGAAGAGGCAGGGATATGCAGTGTTTTGTTTTTTTAAATAACAAAATACTTTTGAGCTTTATAACAAAACCTCTTTACGTATTACACAATGCTTGTTCTAAATACCTAAATGCATTCAGGTGCTTTTGGATTTCCTTTAATGTAGCATGCAAGCATGTGCTATTTGTACCTGTGAATATACTATTGTATTTATCACAATAGAATTGTGACCAAGTGTCAGAACACTTGGGCTTGCGTCGATGGGCAAATGTTGTGTGGTTTTTAGCTGCATTCCCCTGGCATCTGAGATGAGCTTTAGATGTTTCTCAGAGTTAATTGACAGCTACATTTGACCTGCAGTTGTCCACCTTCTGACCTGCATTTGACCTCCTTCTAAACACATTAAAGGAGAACTATGGGCTAAGTGTTTTTCCCCATAGTTATCCTCAGGGTCACGGGAGGACATAAACTAGCGTCCCCCCGTCATTCAAAGCTCAGTATATCGCAAGCTACAGCTCGCGGTATACTGAGACCGCCGCAGCCGAGATGGATCCCAACATTAATGTCAAGATCCACCCAGCTGCGTGATTGGCAGCTGGCTCTGCCTATTCAGAGGCAGAGCCAGCTGTACCTGCCCCCTCCCCCGTTCGTTCCTCCAGTCAGCGCTGGAGGATCGGAGCGGGGAAGGGGAGAATCCCTGCAGGGAGCCGTGAGTGACAGTCACGGCTCTCTGCAGGGACAGAATCGAGAAGTGAGCGAGCGATGGTATGTGTTCGCTCACTTCCCGATCTATTGAGCCAACGTGTGACAGTTTCATTGTCACATGTCGGCTCAAACTATGAGGATGAGTGAAAATCACTCACCTCATAGTGCTCCTTTAAGCAGCTTTTGCAATTCTTCTTGATATGTTCTGACGGAATCAAAAACCCTTCTACACAGACCCTAAAATGGGAAATAATTTCACTTTATATAGATTTCCTGTTTTTAGCCTCCGTTGATCTTCTTTAAAAAATATTGGTTGCCTGACTGTTTATGACTTTAATACATTCTGATTTACTGACTCGAAACAAGCTTGCAACCAGTAAAGTCAGAGCACAACATACTTGTTCTGGGTCTGTGATTTAGAAAGTTATAAAACCATTAGATAAGCATGACAGCTAGTCAAATAGTATGTTAAAGGGCACGTATAGCCAAAACCTTTGTGTACAAAATATTGAAGGGTTAAAAATGGCTTTTAATTGTAATCTTTTGCATAGACATCTAAATATATTAGAATTCTTAATATAACTATTTGCGTTGGCTTGAAATAATTTACCTTGCAATGGAATTGTATTTAGAAAATTGTAAGGTAAATGTAATTTTTTGGCTTGGTATACTGTGGCTAACATATGCAGTATAGAATGTGTAGAACAGTACTTCAATAAGCTAATGTTTTCAAGTGTCTATCACATGGGTGAATTTCTGCCTTGAGATATAACAGAAAGCTATGAGTTACTGGCACAGAATTTAAAATGTGTTCTTCATATCTTATACAAAGACCCAGAAGAGAATGGAACAGCAGGAAAGGTGGTAGGGGGAGAAAAGCGTTTCTTTATTCAATACAAAATGCATGAAATATGATCACACTGCTGGTAAATAGGTATGTGAAATACTTATGTAATGGTTCTCCTATCTGCATGCATTCTGGGTACTGTTAACCTCTCTCTTCTCCTGTATTTAAACATTGACCTCAACCTAATGACAGGACTTCCTCTATTGTCATGTCCATGTCTTAAATCAGCACATGTTGTGTATTCACACGATCAAGTTGTGCATAGAGACTAAGGCTCTTCAGCATGTTTCTCAGGATGTTTAAATATGTGGATGCTGGTTAACAAAATCAATAATAGAGCTGGAACTGTTGAAGTTCATTTCTATACTGATGATTTTTACACCGAGCTTAAACTAGCTTAAAATAAACACAAGATATGGGCAGCACATTGTGTTGCAGCATGAGGGATCCCTGGTTCAAATCCCAGTCAGGACAAAATCTGCAAGGAGTTTGCATGTTCTCCCTGTGCTTCTGTGGGTTTCCTCCCAAACTCAAAAGACACACTGGAAAGTTAATTGGTTTCTATCTAAATTGACCTTCTATGCATGTGTAGCATTCCCCTGACCCCCAAGGGCATCTGGAGAGCCCAAGAGGCAGGGAGGACTGACATTTCACGCTCAGAGATGGATCCTTATCTGGGTTATGGGAGGTGAATAGTAAATTGAGGGCCAGTCACTTTAAGTAGAACAACCAATCTGGGAGAGAAGGTAGAGGGCTACAGACATCCATTGATAAAATGGACTCCAGACTTACCAGTCCCTTCCATCTTCCACAGTGCAGGAATACTTTAGCTGAGCAGAGGATGACACTGTGTAATAGAGCCACAGCTGGACAAGAGATCTTCTTTAGACCTTGCCCGGGAGAGACAACATACTTGTTCCTGAGTTCCATGCCATCTTGGCACCTCCAGCAAACAAAGAGCTCCTCTGGTTCTCCATCCCAGAGAGTTCCAGACCCCACCTGGGTCCACATCTGGCCTCCTGCAGACTTCAGACCTAGTTAGCTTCTCCAACTGTGTATACCCTACCTCCAGGCTGGTACCCCAGGGGCAGACCGATCAAAGCACATGGCAATTTCTGAGTATTTATGCACTTCCCCAGCATGCACCACTGGCCATGAAACTCCTAGTGATTTGCTGGAAAGACATAGACACGCCCAATGTTCTCCCATTGACTGCCACACTCTGTGGCAGAGTCACACCCCACCGCAGGCAGGTGCAGACAAATGCAGAACACCTAGGAATTAATAAATGATTACAAACTACAAATCAGCCAGACTTATTACAGTTTCAGCAACACTAAATGTAAAGAGCCACTCCGCTTAAGCCGAGGGGGCTACATATGTGAGATAAGGACCTTAGATTGTAAGCTCTTTGAGGATGCGGACTGATGTGAATGTGCAGTATGTAAAGTGTTATGTAAACTGTTGGTGCTATACAACGACCTGTAATTAATAAATAAGATTAATGACTTAACAACACCATGAGATAAAACTTAGAGAATATAAGGCGTTGACCAAGTCTAGAAGTGGCAAATTAGAATAGCACATCTACCTTTTTAAAGAAAAACAAAAATATGTGCAGTGACATTTACAATGCATCCTATATATATGCAGCTCCCCCTTTGTAGATCTTTTGCTTTAGATAAGCTGGCTCTTAAAACTGGTAATGAGCTGGCAAGCTTTTTTTTTTTTATACTACTAGTAGAATCTACTAAACTCTGATTGGATGCAACATTTAGATTGATGTATTATGAAAATGTACATTTTCTAGGGATGGATGATCACTATCCTAGGGTATCTAGGACTAGAATGATTTTCCCCACAGGGATGCAAATCTATGTACTGGAGAAATTAAACTTAAAGGAGAACTATGAGATGAGTGATTTCCACTCACCTCATAGTTCTAGCCGACCTGTGACAATGAGACTGTCACAGGTCGGCTCAGTAGATCGGGAGGTGAGCGAACACATACCGGGTTCGCTC